GAGGGGCAGGACCCCTAGGTTTTCATCTAGAGTCTGCCTGACCCTGTGAGTGACCTGGGCAGGGCCCCAAGCTCTGTCTAAAACAGAGTGACCGTCCTGTTCTCCCCGAAGTCTGCAGTGCTGCTAGTTAGGGTAACGAATGCAAAAACCCCTCGGAAATGACCAAGCGTTGTCGCAGTGATGGGGGCAATGATTACTCGTCTCTAAAACCCCTCGGTCCTCAGGGGCGGATCTGAGAGCAAATCCGCTGGGCCAGGCCGGCATCCCCAGACAGCATCCTAGGAAACCTGGGTTCAGTTCTGTGTTCAGTGCTGCTGCTGTGAGACTTCAGGCAAGCGCTTTCCTCCCAGAGCCTCGGTTTACCCATCAGTAGAATGAGTACGATAACCCCTGTCTTCCTCCTAGGAGTGCCATGTAGTTAGAGAGAATGTAAAGCCAGGGTTTTTTTCTGCCTATCTCACGGGGAAGAAGTCTAGGGAGGGTGACAGGTCATGGCCCATGAAGCCAGGTGGGCCACAAGACAGATAAGGAGCCAAGTGATGGGTGTCTGAGGAGTCAAGCTTCTTGCACCGGAGGGTACAGCCTCCATTGCTGGGGTGGCATACTTTCTCTTCTTCCCAGAAATCATGGAAGGCTTCCTGCAGGAGGCAGTTCAGGAGCTAATGATGTCATCCCAGGACAGCTAGACAGATGCCAGGGGAAGACGGAGGCACCACTAGAAGACGTGGGGTTTGCTCAGGAAGCTGAGAGGGGCTGGAGAGCACCTCTTTGGGGGGCAGCTCTGGAGTGACCTCACTGGACCTCACTGTCCTCTGGCAGGTTATGTGCTATGACTATGACAACGACGGGGGCCACGATTTCATCGGCGAGTTCCAGACCTCAGTGTCACAGATGCGTGAGGCTCGAGATGGCATCCCGGTAAGGTGCATGCGCGTGAGCCCGAGACCTCAGCAGGGGAGGGGGAAGGGGCGCAGGCTTTTGGATCAGGCAGACGGGGGCTCAGATTTCACGTCTCTGACTGTATGACCTTGAACGAGACATTCAATTTCTCTGAGCCTCAGTTTCCCCATCTGTCAAATGAAGGAAGAGAAGTAGTGTGGGAAAGAAACGAGGTGATACAGGCAAAGGGCCCAGCATAGTGAGTACTCGGGAGCTGTCCACGTAACTCACCCCGACAAGCTGGGCCCTGGGTGACGGTACTTAGTACATGAGTAGACATGACATGGATGAGTTGTCTAGGGGTGGTGGGTAAACACAGCTCCTCCTACCATGGGCAGGCAAAGCTTGGTGTGAGCCCAGGTGGCAGGAACAATTTCCAGGTGGGAATGTCCAGGAAGTCTTCCTGGAGGAGGCACGCTGCCCCTGGTGAACACTTTGGAGGAGATTTCGGGGTCCAGGGGAGGCTCAGTCTCCATGGAGACCACGAGGTGAGCGTTTGTTCTCTTCCTGTGTTGTCCAGCTGGAGTTCGAGTGTATCAACCCCAAGAAGCAGAGGAAGAAGAAGAATTATAAAAACTCAGGCATCATCATTCTACGTTCCTGCAAGGTAGGCCAGTGGAGGGTGGGGGAGAGGGCACAGGGCAAAGCCAGCTAAGCTTGGGTTCCAATCCTAGTTCTGCCAGGTCCTGACTCTGTCACCTTCTGAGCTTAACCGGTATGGGCCTCAGTCTCCTTATCTGTAGAATGGGGAAATTAATGAGGTAAAGTGTGTAAAGAGTCTCACATCACGGTCCTATGTGGAGGTCCGGGGGGGCACGAGATGACCTTTCAGGGCCCCTCCGAGTTGGAGAGTAACTGTAGCTTCTTCCCATGTGGGTGGCTTACCCACCGTGTGTTCAGCGTCAGAGGGGCAGAGGACATGGGGCCAGGGCACCTGTCCACTGGCAGTGACATCAGGGAGGGGTCAGGTACCTGACTCCCGTGGTATAGCTGGGGCCACTGAGGCCCAGAGAGGCAGTGAAGTTCACGCCAGAAGTGTCCAGGCTGAGGTCAGGGGCCAGGTCCCCTGGCCTCGTGGGTAGCCTGGTGTCTGCTGGAATCGGGCAGCAAGAGCCTTCGATGCTGGGCCTGGCATCCTGATGCTCTACCAGCTGGCGGGCCCCATACCCCAGGCCTCCTCGTCCTGGTCTGGAGCCCACGCTGCCACGCTGGGGTTTACACGAGCATTCATTGGTGAGGTCACAATGCAGAAGTGCTCCATGAGAGTTCAGCTGTCAGGTTCCAGCATCATGATTTCGGGTCCTTGTTTCTGAAATTTGTCATTCGCATCTCCCTTTCATGCTTTTTGGCACCTGCCTTACTTATTATGTTTTTGTCATCAACCCCTTCCCCCATTTTTGTTCCTTTTTTTACTTAAATACATTCATTTTGAAAGGAACCCTTATAACTCTAGCAAAATTTTGGCCAGTATCTTTTGCCAAAAGGAGGCAAAGACCATAAAAAAAAAAAAAACGAAACGTTTAGCAGCTTTATTAATTTACAGAGGAAGGCCTTGAGCAGTGGCCTGGCCCTCTCTGTTAAAAGTAAAAGTTGGTAAGGGCTAGAGAGAGCTTAAGGACCGAATAGCAACAACTTGTTTCTTTCCGTCACATAATCGGTAGGTATAATGGATGCTGGGCCCAGGATCCTGCCTGCATCATCACGCATCCATGTAACCTGTGTGTTTGTCCCCCATTGACTGGGAACTGTCACTCTGAGTGCTTTGTTCCAGAGAGTTGGGGTTTGTTGTAATCAGATCAGATTCTGGAATCTGACTTTTTGGGTCTCCATGACCACCTTACTAAGGTGTCAGGGCACAGCAGCCCCCTGGAGGTCATCCATGAAGAGGGCCAGCCCTCGGGTGCCAGGTGGGGACCCACTGACTTCCTGATTCCTTTCAGATAAACCGGGACTACTCCTTCCTGGACTACATCCTGGGAGGTTGCCAGCTCATGTTCACCGTAAGCCCCCACAACCCCACACCCCAGTGAGGACTGCCCCCCTTCACCCCCGCAAGGGCTTGGGCTGTAGCAGGGGCTGGGTAAACTTCAGGAAGGACTGCCCCGGGTCAGGGAGTGTGTCTGGCATAGGCACATGGGCCTGAGTCGGGGCTTAGCTGCAGGTCAGCATGTAACTGGCTACCCAGCCCACAGAGTTCACTGGCTACATCCCTTCAGGAAGAAAAAGCCAACTTCCTCCTCGCTGGCCACAGGCCTTCCTGCCTCATCTGTTCCCCCTCCTTGCTCACTGGGCTTCTTCCACACTGACCTTCACTGTTCCTGCCACGTGCCAAGGTTCACTCTGTCCTAGGCCCTTGCATTTGCTAGTCCTCCTGTCTAGAACACTTCCCTGGAAACTTTTTCTGGCTGCAGCCCTACCATCCCACACGCCAGGGCACAGAGATCACCTCGTTAGGGAGCTCTCCCCTGATGCTGGGCTGGGGTTCCCTCAGGGCTGAGAGCAGATGGAGACTTGTTCCCTGCCCATCAACAGCCCAGGTCCTTGTGGGGCACCTGACCAGTGCTCCGTGCCCAGCCCTGGACCTGGCTCCTTGGAGGCGTGCGTTTCGCCTTTGGGGAGCACCTAGTCTGACCGGGGAGACAGGCACTGCCCCACCAGGCAGACCCAGGTTCCCAGGCCCCTTGGTAGTCTGAGGGATGATGAGGAGATGGCATGGGGTGGGGGCGAGGTGTCTGGGAAGCTTCGTGGAGCAGCGGCATCTGAATTGGGCCAGAAAGATGGAGGAGAATCAGACAGGGAGAACAGATAGCCCGGCTCTTTAGGTAGAAGGAACTTAATGAATAAAGGCCTGGAAATGGGAACAGATGAGTGCAGGGATAGGGATGGTGAGAGAAAAAGGAATCTGAGGCTGTAAGTTGGTCTTATCTCACATCTGGGCAACAGACTTTATGCTTAGGACATAGCGAGCCACAGACGGCCTGAGAGCCAGAGGAGTAATACAACCAGACGGTTCCCAGGTCTCAGACCGTCTTATGGAAGGGTGGGTTGGGGCTGGGAGATGAGTTGCCTTCCCATGTCCCATCATCCTCTCTGTTCCCTGTGGGTAAGATAGGGAGCCGGGGTGTCTGGCCATACTGGATGGTCTTTTTCCCACCCCCCACTCTGCAGGTTGGAATAGACTTTACAGCCTCCAATGGTAATCCCCTCGACCCTTCCTCTTTGCACTATATCAACCCTATGGGCACCAATGAATACCTGTCGGCCATCTGGGCTGTTGGGCAGATCATTCAGGACTATGACAGGTAAGCTTGGGGAGGGACTCTGAAGGTCAGCTCAGGCTCCATCCAACTGGGAAAGCTCAACTTATCAAAACCAGAGATCATCAAACCTTGCTCAGAGGCGTGCGTGCTGTTATCGCCCTGCGCATCCCTGTGGCAGACATTGCTAATCGATTGCTGACCTCTTAGTTACTGAGCCCAGATCCACACTGGGATCCTTCTCCACACAGTACACCGAGGAGTAAGAAAATGAGTCAAGATAAAAGACGAAACTCATTTGCTCTTGTTGCAACTGCCCTTTTTAGAGCTAGGGAAGTGGAGGCCTGGGGTTGGGTGGAGAATTTGCTCAAAGTCACACAGATCAGGGAGACCAGAGCCCAGGCATTCTGCTTCCGAGGCCCAGCACCTAACGCCCTGTTAGTCTCCTGTCGGGGGCTTCGGAGGAGCAACCAGCGTGTGTGGGGCCCTCCTCCCATGACCATGCTTCCTGAAGATCTTTGGGGGTGTGGGGTGGGGTGCAAAGCCAGTGAAAGAAAGCTTTGTAGGGGGTGTGGTCATCAACAGGATGTGTCACATGCGAAGTCCAGAGGGACTTGGAGGATCCGGAAGTCACTTGTGGGCTGTGGCATCATTGTCCCAGATGGTGCTTGTTGGGACCTCTCAGGTCAGAGGGTGGAATGACTATGGGGAGCAAGGGAGGAAGGAGCAGGGATTTGGCAAGAAGAACGGGCTCAGGAATCCTGTGTGCACTCGACCTCGAGAAAGGTAGCCTGAGGACCAGCATCTGACTCCCAGGGTGGCTGATTCTGGGCCACATTAAGAGAGATACAGCATGCAGAGCTGGGGAGATGGACGTCTCTATCTGCATCGTTGGGCAGAGGTGCCTCTTGTGGCTGCTCCAGAGACCCTTGGATTCAGCTGCTGGCTCAGCCCCCCCACGGAGCCTTCTCAGGGGCATCCAGGCTTAGCGAGGGCCCAGTGAGCTGGAGGCCTTGCTGGACACCTGCCCCAGTCCTGCCCCTCTCTCCGTCTTCACCATCTCAGCGAGAGGCACCAGAACTCACCCCAAACCCTTCACTTCCTTCCTTCCCTCATCTCCCCCATCACCCTTTCAGCAAACCCTTTCCGAATACTTGAATCTAACCTCTCCTCTCCACCCCACTGCAGCCAGCCTCTTTGAGCCACCATCTCCTCCTGCCCAGGT